AGGGAGGGGGAAAGGGGGGTTGGGCAAGTGTTCAAACTCTCATGTCAGCGGCTGCCTCGCGGCGCCGGGCCTCAGCCGGCATTGCCCCGCAATACAATAACATCATTGTATGCATAATGCATTTATTGCACAGAGTAAATAGATTAGTAAAACAACTGTTGTTTGTACTAGAAACGACAGAGATTCTTGACATCATTTGTACTAGAAAATTAGTAGCATAACTGTTGTTACGACAGGGATTCTTGACATTATTTGTACTAGAAAATTAGTAGCATAACTGTTGTCTACGAGCTACGACAGGGATTGTTGACATCATTTGTACAAGAAAATAGTAGCATTATTATTGTTACGAGCTACGACAGTGATTTTTAGACAAAAAGTATTAAAAAAGTAGAAGATGCGGAATGTATATTACGAGCAAGACTGGGTGCTTTTAGTGCACGAAAGATGGGGAAAGAAATTATGTTGCCTACCTGCAGGCCCACACAACAGAATAGTGCTGCTGCTAGCTCGAAAGTCCTTGAGATTGATACACTCCGACAAACTCGCTCTCTTTAAGTGAATGAATGAGGACGTAATAAGCGCCTCTTTCGTGTCCTCACTGCCACACCCAAAAGACAAGCAGGAAAAGAAAAAGAAAAACAACAACAACAACAAAAAAAAAAACAAAGAGAAAGACAAACCTAGGTGTTAGCAAAACGGACCAAACACAGAGAAAAACGACTGGAAGTCGCCCCAAATTCAGGTATAATGACCATACGTTGTATTCGGGGGAAGAGGATAGGCACGATTAGGCAGGGTTCACACCGAGCTTAAGAGAGAACGGATTCGCAAAAGCGCCAAGAAAAAGTCGACAGACGCCGACTGGCCAAAAGAAATGAAGGACTTCTTTTTTCTCTTTTTTTTTTTTTTTTTTTTTTTTTTTCCTAAAGCTCTCTGAAGGGCATGGGCAAGCATGCAGTCAATCGAAAGCAAAACAACAAAACCACTCCACTTCTATCGAAATATTCTTGAGAAATTGCAGGGAATTACTCACGCCACGACATTTTCCACTGAATCCGACCAAAAATTACGACGAGATCCAGAAGAGTCCTCCAACTTCAAGGAAGTTCCAGTGCAACTGTCGCCTACGACGCCTAGCAATAGCACAGTGCATGTCCATGTGGCCTGATGTGGGGTCTATGGAGTTTTCAGCGGCACGGTACTTGTGATAAACGACCTGCGAGTTGTCATTGCACGTCCACACGCTAGTACGCTACTTTGGTGGCACGGGCACCGAAGTAGCTTGTCGAAGATAAGGGTTTTTTTATAGGGGTGTTAACTTTTGACCCAAAGAGAGATACCTGGGCGTTGGGGTTAGTCAAGCCATGGTGGGTTTGTGATAGGGTGGAGTTTTGACCAAGGAGGAATTCCCAGCGGTCGCGGTTAACGAAGCCAAAGTGGGTCTAGCACAGAGCCTCAGGGTAGTTTGACCGAAGGAGCGATTCTCGGACTTGGGGTTAACTAATCCAAAGAGGGTTCGGCACCGAATTCCTCCGGCGGTCGCGGTTAACGAAGCCAAAGTGGGTCTAGCACAGAGGGTAGTTTGACCAAAGGAGCGATTCTCGGACTTGTGGTTAACTAATCCAAAGAGGCTTTGGCGCCGAAGGGCGTCTGACGAAGGAAGGGGATTAGGTCCGAGTAACCAACCCGAAGTGCGCTTGTCACAGAGGTGGGGGTCAGCAAGGAGGGATGCTCGGGCGCTGGGGTAACTAACCCAGAGTGGGTTTGTCGCAGGGGGAAAGGGTTGACCAAGGACTGCGATTCTCTGGCCATGGGGTAAACCAAGCCAACTTGAAAGTGGGTTTCTCAAAAAAAAAAAAAAAAGTTTCTCACAGCAGGGGGGAGGGAAGGGAGGGTTGACCAATTCCGAAGATTCTCTGACGTTGGGGTTAACAAAGCCGAAGTGGGTTTGTTACAGAGAACGGGGGTTAGGGGCCCGCCGTTTTTAACCAAGGACAGCGATTCTCTGGCATTGGGGATTAACCATTGGCAAGCAGAACTGGGTTTGTCACCGAGGAGGGGACCTTTGGAAGGGGGGGGGCGAGGCGGTGGAGGAGGTTCACCATGGCGGGGCCTCTTTCTGCCGTTGCGCTTAGCCTGGGATTTCGTGACGTTGGGGTCACCAGTTCGGGATTTCGTGGCGTTGGGGTCAACCAGGGGGCCCGTCAGGCTGACATACACATCTCAAGGCTGTCACCCTTTCAAAAGACGGAAATAGAAAGAAGAGAAGGAGACCAAAAAAAAAAAAAAAAACTGTTCTGTTGTCTCTTCCACGTTAACGACAAAAAGGTACACAAAAAGAAAAAGATTTAAAAGAACTCTTCATGCTGCTGGCAGGCAATTGATACCTACAGAGTCAAAAGTGAATACAGCAAGGAAAGGCCGACGGACCTATTTCAACATCGTTGTACAAGATGTCATTATTACGTAATGAAGGACGTCAACAAAATTACTTACCCGACGTAATAAGGAAAACTGTCAAAAGTTTCCTCCACTTGGTCACGCACTAACAGATTCTGCAGAATCTTTGACTTGGTCATATCGTGTAGGGTGGAGGTAGCACGTCTCAGCTGTCGGGGGTCATTTCCTCTTCGAACGGCTCCAGCCAACGTTCCGGCGGCGGCAACATCAGCCCTAGGGCTGAGGCAATCAGCGATCTTGGAGAAGACGTCCTCCACAACAGCCGCGTCATCGTCGCAACCTAGGTTGAGATCCAGACCGACACGTGGAGACAAAGGTGTCAATGGCAGAACTTCCCGCTGGCCCCCTTCATGATCTCGCTGACCGGCTTCGCTTACAGCAAGAGGAGGAGGAGGATACCCAGCGACGCCGGCGTCGATTCCTTCGCCGCGCTGCACCTCCACCGTCCTCCCTTCCTCGCCCTGGTCACGTCGATCCCTGCCAGCAGAGCGAGACTCAGGTTCCTGAGAAGTCTTCCTTTCCGCGAGCAGCTGCGCGTGGACTGCGCCCCGCGACCCGCTGCTGCTAGAGGTGCCACGCATCTTCCTCAAAGTACCGTCAGAGCGCGTGTAAAACCCGCCCGGTGAGTCGGCGCGAAACACGGGGCTCGTCGGCGCGCACCGTGGAGAAGCGAGCGCCGCCGCCGTTTCTTCGGCAATCTCCAAGGCGGCGAGCTGACGGCGGGCAGGACAAGGATCGCGCGATTCCGCCGCCGCCGCCGCCATGGCGGCCGCTCCTGTCGGCCCCTTCAGCTTCGGCTTCGGCTTCGGCTTGAAACGAAGAAACCGAAGTGCCGCCTCCGTCAATACCACTGCGGCAGCAGACGCAAGCACCGTCCCCACTGAGTAATTACGATCCATCCTCTCTCTCTCTCTCTCTCTCTCTCTCTCTCTCTCTCTCTCTCTCACACACACACACACACACACACACACACACACACAGAGACAAAGCTGTGTATGCCACGCCTACTACCCAGGACGAAGCAGGAGCAGGTGGGAAAGGCGTGAGCGAACGAGCAAGACAATCAGGAGAGAGCCTGATGCGAACGGACGTGGTACCGAACACGACACAGGAACGGCCACGAGAGACAACTGGACCGTCACGGCAAAAATCCGCCGCAAACGGATTACCGAAGTAGAGCACTGGAAGCTTGCGTGATGGCCCTTTTCTCCTCACGCTGCAATATCAGACGACATTGCTGTGCGCTTGGGGTGCACTGTCGAATAAGGGGAGTCAACAACCTGCAAGTAGGCGGGAGATGCCAGGCTCCTCGGTCCGCCGCGACCACCTCTGCAGCGTAGCGGCCAGCCGGCGTCGAAGTCGAAGCTATGTGCAGGCACCGGTTGCACCCGAGCACCCTCCTTTCCCTTTCCCCTTCCCCTTCTCTTCAGCTGGCATACTCCAACGGTGAGGTGCCAGAAGCCCTGTGCCCGTCGATCTCCGAGAGCGCCAGCAGTTCTGATTCAGAGACCAATCTCGGCAAAGTCGATGCAACTTGTTACTCGCTAGGACTTTTACGACTCAGCGTGGACGTGACTGGGATCCGATGCATGCACTCTTGACCTTAATTTGTGGCCAGGTACATTTGGAAAGTGGCACTGTGAGTATGCCCTTAAAATCAGCGAAAAGCGTTTCCTATAACCAAAGCGTTCCCTATAAGAAAGCGACTGACTATTGCATAGTCTGTCCCAGGACTCTTTCCGAGTCGGTGTCGACTATTGCATAGTCTGTCACAGGACTCTTTCCAAG